GGCCATCAATCGAGCAGCATTTCAGCAAATTGAGTCGATCGGCTCTCAGGGAAGACGCTTACTTGCTGCTGGACATGGCAGGGGAGGAAAGAAATCTCTCCCGCTTTGCCGAGATTGGAGGCGTGCTCGCTGATGAGGAATGTCTCCCACGGCGCAAAGCTCCCGATGCTGCTGCTGCTGCTCCTCCGATTCATCATCGCCGAGCTCGCGCTGCCGATTCCCGGAGAATTTTCTTGAATCCAGCCGCGGCGTAGTCATCTGTGACGAAATTTCACCATCCTAGAATCCAGACATTCTCGCGATTCGCAGATAGACGAGATCCCCGAGCAATCCTCTTCTCACATTTTCTCCACACACACCACACAAACCCTATGCACAGAACACTAAAATAAAAACTATTTCCAAATACAAGCCATAGCCAAAAGCTCGGGCCAGGCTCGGCACCGAGGCACGAGCCCCGAACCAGCAAACGAGTTTACTGCGGGCGGGTAAAAGGTTTGAAGTTCGGCCGGTCCTCTCATGGTTGACGGGCCAGATGAAACCGTCAACGGTGAAACATTGATAGCCGTTGATCCTGGCCTTGGATTTGAATTTACGCCACCGCAGTAAAAAATAAAAACCCCCACCGCTGCGACAGGGACCAGCGGGTCGTGACACGTGTCTGGTCCACAGTGGCTCGCACCCAACTAAATTGACCGGACCAATCCAAAACTTTCACTACCCTGCCCGTTAGCGTGGGCAATTAGAGCAAACAACTGCTGCTAATTACTGTCGGAGATTATGGAGATCCCATGATTGCTAGCGCCAAGGTCGCCGGTTCGAATCTTTCCCAAAGGATCCCTCTCCAAGCAATTCTTTGTCTGTCTGGAATGGAAGAATATCTTTGGACGTAACTATAATGTACTCTGAAGTAGTATGATATCTTTTTATCCTCTCTCCCAAACTTCCAGATCGATCCCTGGACATTACATTAGATCTTAGATCTTAGAGCTTAGATTTGTATATACCATCTTCTTTTTTCCATACCAGTCGACCTCTTTCATCCATGTGCTCGAGCACGAAGGAATAAATCCAATCCTTTCAGCGTCATTTCCAACACAGACGCTTTCCTTGTTGGCTTGGCCCGCCCTGTGAGCTACTGCCACAGCGCCACTGCTCCAAAAATTATACCTCCTGGCAGTCCCTCTGCAGCTTCTGGCATCTCTACCATTATAGAGAGAACCTCTTGTGCTGTGCTCGCTACGATTTCTTTCCTACAAAAACAAGCACCGCAAAACGAGATAAGTTCCACTTGGAATGAAACAAAGCGACACAGCACAGCTCACCTGTGGAAAAGAAATGCAGTCCGTCCAGTCTTCCGGATATCGCTCTGACCGCGTCCCGGAACGCACTCCTCCATTCCGGGGCCCCAAATCGGAGGATCCAAAAGCGAAACATCTGCTGGAACATTGCTAGGTGGGAAGAAAGTTACCTGTAACTCCACTAGACGACGCCTGAATGCCGTCGGATTCCACTTCATGGGCTTCACGAGAGTTTCCAGTCCGCAGTCCATGCGATGGTGGTGGAAACCAACGCGCCAACACTGCGCTGCATTGACAGGAATGAACAATAATATCAAAATGCGTTTCTCCTGACGGAAGTTTAAAAGACATACCTTTTCCTTCGTTTTTTTTTATCTTTTAATCTGGAGTAGTGTGAAACACCAGTGCAGCGGCAGTCGTTTGTGGTTGTAAGCATAATTCCCCACCTCTTCGAATATAAAAAACACTTGTCGAGAACATCAACACAGGTCAGCAACGACGAGCTTATGATCTTGCACAGATGGTGAAAGGTGCCGGTTGAGTAAGAAACGATACCATGCCAGATCTTAAAAAGTCGGCAAGTCGGGTCGGGCGCAAAACTCCAGGCTGCAAGATCAAACAACACCGCGTCGCTATCCCGTCTTAGTCTAGAAAACAGAAAAAAGCGTACCTTAAAAGTCATGGATTTTGTTACTGCGATGATGATCACAAAACGTACCGAGCACATGAAGGACCAGGTGTGTTGGATCAGCTTTCAATCGCCAGAGGGTGTAGAACATTATGCATTCTGTGAAGAGCAGATTTGATGCGTTCTTTGAGATTGTCATCGTCACACTCGACGCTGCGGCTGGTGTAGTCCACAGTGGCAGCAACTCCGTCCACAGAAATCACGAGCTTCTTCCCTTCCTCGTCTACTTTGACGTCTCCAAACAAAGACGTGAGCAGCGACTGGACAACCGTAAGATCCTCCTCAATCTTCGGCAGACCATTGGCGTCCGTCAGCAAGCGAGGATCCATCTTCGTGATGATCGCAATTATTGAATCCGCTATCATGTCGCTCACTGGATCAGACACCCACTGGAGGACCACATGCTCGTTTGACTCCTGAGAAATCGTCACCTTGTCATGGATCCTCAGTGTCTGGCTCTCGGCTTTTGTAACGTGTTCCACGCCGTCGTACATCTGCTCAATCCTGTGTCGCAGCACAACAAATGCGCCGTCGTATGGGACTGAGAGCCTCTGCTGGATGCTGCCCCTGGAAAGCTGTGTGTAAACATGAAGGTCGTCCGGAGCCATCAGCTGGTACGTGAAGCTCTTCTTGATCAGCAGGCCGCTCACTGCGCCCCCCTCGTCTGGTGTTTTCTCCGCCAGCCTACCAACAGCCTTTGCAACTTTCTCTCCTTTGAAAAAAAACTCCACGGGTTGGCAGTTCTTTGGCGAGTTTATCTTGACGTTTTGTTCTGCAAACTGCGCCTGTAACTTGACCTTTAGACGGCCCATCTCGTTCTGCTCTCCATGAACGAGAACAATGTGCGGAGGCCTTAGTTCCCCTAAGAAGGCGCTGGTCTGAGCAAAGTCCGCGTGTGCCGAGAAAGAGATGTACACCACCCTCATGTTGAGCGGAACTACGAGGCCACTGACGAGGGCAACTTCCTTCGGCTCGTTCAGTATAGTCTTTGCAAGTGTCCCTTCCACAACGTAACCAGGTATCACGCAAGCGTTCTTCCTGTCCTGACACCAGCGGTCGAATAGCTGACGAGAGAGGCCGCTCTGCAAACCGCTTGGACTAGCCATAACAATCGAAGGCCCGACATCTTCGAACTGCTCGATGCTCTTGAGAGGAGAGATATGCTTGAAGTTGAAGGGATTCGAGTTCTCGTACTGAGACTTGATCTTGTCGTTCATGGAATTGATGTAAGTCTGATAGACTGCCATGCACTTCTTGGCTAGCGGCGAAGCATAGTATATCGGGATGTGTTGCAGCTCCGGGTGAGCCTCCCAGTACTCGTCCAGAATCAACAGAAGCTCCTGTGCTCGTCCTAGAGCGAAAGCCGGAATGAGAACTCTGCCTCCGTGAGACACGGTTTGCGCTATAGTCTCCGTAAACCTCTTCTCCCGGACGTGTCGCGGCTGATGAATCTGAACGCCATAAGTCGACTCTATGATGCAGACGTCTGGAGAAAACTCTGGCATTTCCGCGGCTTTGAGGTGGCGATCCTCTTCTCTGGAGTAGTCTCCTGTGTATAAGACCCGGATACCGGCTATATCCACCATGAACATCGCTGCCCCGAGGACATGTCCCGCGGTGTAGCACCAGAAGCGTATCCCATTCACCTCCATAGTTTGGTGAAAGTCTATAACCTGTAGGCACCGTAAGTGATGTGACCCCAGGTAGCACCACACATACCTCGATCTTGTCCATGGTTTTCAGCACGTCTTGCTCGTCATACAGCATGTCTTCGACAGACCCTTTGCTGATCTTGACATAGTCCGTGAGCAAAAGCTTGTAAATGGCTTTGGTTGCGTGTGTCATGAACACTCGGCCTTTGAATGTGGTCTGAGAGACAAAACTTTACAAACCAGCCTCGCAAAAAAGAAATCAAGTACCTTCTCCAGAAAATATGGAAGCGAGGCCGCGTGATCGAGATGAAAGCTGGAACAGAGATCACGAAGAGTAGAACAATAAAAGGAAACGAAAAGGAAAATCCTTACTGAGTTACTAACAGCACGTCGATTGTCGACGGATCAATCTCATCGAAATACGGCAACGCGGCCATTCCAGTGTAGCCGGGATGGATTCCACAGTCGAACTGGGCAGGAAAGCACTCACATTTCACATTTCCTTGCTCGAAAGAAAGAAATCTCGAAATCCACTCACCAGAATCGTCTTTCCCTTGTAAGTCATGTGGCAGCACGATCGGCCGACCTCGCTTCCAGCTCCCAGAGGCATAATCTCCATCTTCTCGCCCTCGTTCCTCGCCATCGAATCCTTTCTCTTCAGCATCGTCGCGAAACCAAAAGCCCTAGAAAGAACGAAGATTTTAGGGTTCTAAGCTTTTGCCACGTCGGCATTTACGCAGCGCTTGCACTCCCGCCCAAAAAGCCCTAGGAGGAGCGCTGCTCGAGCAAAGGCATTGCGGCAGTCGCGGATGATCCCAGGTGAGATTCTTGTCGGCTTCGATTCAATCCATTTCATCAAGAACCTCTGATAGGAAGAACAATCTGTGGAAAAAAATTCCCATTGATGGGCGCCTTGGGTAGCAAAGATGATCAAACTGCCAGCTCTTTGGCGCAGTGGTCACGACACGAACTGGGACGGCAGCGGCGGCGGCGGCGGCACCACTCCCGGATCCGCTTGGAGCGGTGCTGGAATTGGAATCACAAGAGTAGCAGGCAATCTCTCACAGGCTTGCGATCCTTCTTGTCGAGGCAGCAGTGTAGTTCATCCCAGGCTCCTCCACAACAGTGTCCCCAGGCCAGAGATCTTAGGAGGGAGTGGATTCTTTCGAGCTAAGCTTTGTGAGCTTGACGAGATAGAGGTTCTTCCTCCTCCACTACCACCACCACCATTTTTCTTCCATGGTAGCAGCACCAACTCTCTGGTGAGCTCCAGGAACTCTCACACTAGCATGGGGAACAAGAGCTCGTCAACTAGAGTACCGGTGATTAGCTATAGAAGCAGTGGGATCTCCGAGAAGCAGGATGGTGCCAGCGTCCAGTCCAAGAAGCTCGAGCCTCTAAAGCTCCCGATCACAACCATGGCAGAGAAATCGACACAAACTTTCAGCACCAAGAATGTCGCGCTAGACACATCCAGTTTGGTTTCCACGAACTTTGGAAAGCCGGCTACTTTGCGTGGAGGATCGTCATCGCCGGGACCGGGGCCGGGATGGTACTCGCCGAAGTCCCAGCCATCTTCGCCAGCTTTCTCGATGGGAAGCCGGCTTGGCGATGGCAAGAGGTCTCACAGTCCCGGACCAGGAGCACACTACGTAAAGAGGAGGCCGGACGGTCCAGGCTACACGATGTCTCCTCGGTTTAGAGACGCTGCAAAGGACCGGAGTCCCGGGCCGGGGCAGCACAATCTTCCAGGAACTTTTGGTGGTCCGGCTTACACCATGGCGCCGCGGTTTAACTCGCCTCCCAGAGCTCACAGCCCGAAGCCATTTGCTTCTTCGTTGTCCGTCCTAGGCAAAGGTGCCGGCCCGATGCGAGAGACAAACACTAGCTGGACCAAGACAGCGGTTGAAGGTTCGTTGAATGCTCATGCAAACGTTCCTGGTCACGGGGTTTATTCCAGCTACAGGCCCGAGCATCTGCCGAAGAAGAAGAAGGAGAAGAAAAAGGAAGTTGGCTACTTCATCGTCAAGGTGAATCCGAAAGGACCGGCTTACAAGATCACAAAGACGGGGACCTTCTTGATGCCGGAACCGGATGATCCGGCTTTCAATCCAGAGAGAGGGGAGTCAGGAAGAAGGGACTCTGGCAATCTAGACAGGAGAGGTTCCCGCTCCAGGAGAAGATCCAGTTTATCTCCGAGGCGGCCGTCGGGTCCTCCACAACCAGATCCAACTCCGGGACCGGGAGAACACCAGGACGCCGAGTTTCAAACAAACGGTCCCTGGATAACTATCAAGTCCAGGATTCCATTACGTCCAAAGGAGAACTTTCCAGGACCAGGAACTTACGACGTTGTGTCGAGGCCGAGCTCGCCATCCTTCTCTCTCGGCACTCGCCGTTTTGTTCCGGAGGACAAAACAGAAAATCCAGGGCCAGGAGCGTACAGGATCATAGGGAAGCCACACGGCCCGCATTTTTCAATCACTGGCAAGCCCCGAGACTCGTCACCCCGCTCGAGAAGTCCCGGTCCCGGAGCCTACAAGTACGAGAATGGAACCATCGGCTATGGTCTACCAGCTTTCACCATCACTGGCAAGGCGACGTCTCCACGAGAAAGCGATGTTCCAGGCCCCGGTACTTACTCTGTGCGGCTTCCCAGAGGCCCGGCTTTCACCATGCAGTCGAGACAAAGCTCACCAAGAACTCCAAACTTTCCCAGCCCGGGATCATACAGTCCGCAGCACAGGATGCGAGAAGAGTTATCAGACACCCCCGGCCCCGGCTCCTACACCTCGAGATCTTCCATGGACGGTCCTTCCTTCAGCATGCACGGCCGACTTAGTAGCCCGGCTTCTTCCACTTCCAGGAGCAGCTCTCCGGGACCTGGAGCGTATACGATCTCTTCCAGGCCAACGAGTCCATCATTTACGATGTATGGCCCGGTGAAGAAGAGCAACGAATGGAATGATTTTCCAGGGTCCGGAGCGTACTGCCCGAAACTAGGCCGGGTGAGTCCGGAGTTTAGCATCCGGGGAAAGCTTCCAGTCCAGCAGAGAAGCCGAAGAAGCTCTTTCAGCATCCGGGGGAAGATTTCTCGTGAGGAGCGTCCTCGTTTTCCAGGACAGGGGGCTTACAACGTCAAGAGTGGAAGAAGCTCTCCATCTTTCAGCAATCCAGGGAAGATTTATTGTGAGGAGCGTCCTCGTTCTCCAAGATTGCTAAGAAAAATATGAAATGAGAAGTTATATTTGTGTCTGTTTACAATTGTTTTCTAGTGCTAGTATGAAGAAGCTCTATATTTTTCTTTCCAAGCCGGCCACTTCTTCTTGGGGATTGAGGACGTCGTTTCCTCTCGTTCACCACCTGTTCATATTCTTCAGCAGCAGGTTTCATACGAGAGAATGCACCTACTCGATTAAGTCCCTCTGTGTTATCTAATATTATTTGCTCCACGTCGTTTGTCCACGTTCTGGCCTTCCGCCCAATCAAAGTCTCCAAAGAGTACTCCATAACAAACATCGTCTCAGGTATCCAAGCTGGAGACCCTGAGAATCTATCCAAAAGCATAGGACGGTCCTCAACTTAAACATCTTCTATAATATATTAACTATTTAGAAATTTAGAGTGTTGGTTGTCGCTTTTTTACTTCATCATGTGCAATCTTTAATGAGATCATTATATCTTTTGCACACTGGCTCTATAAATAAATATATATATATATATATATATATATATATATATATATATATATATATATATATATATATATATATATATATAAAGACTTCTTTTTTATATCTTGTAAAGTGATTTCCTCTTGCATTTGATAATACTCAAAAAGGCCTTCTCAAATATCTTTCCATTTTTTACTTTGATTATCCCAAAATGTAAAATTATACAAATGTTAAAATGTTGCATCACAGTTAGGTGTAAAATGTTATATTTTCTTTCTTTGGCATTTTCTAAACTATAGAATGTGGCATAAGTGAGTAATTACCATATAACCACATCTTTCCAATGATTAATTTTACCAATGTTCACATTTTTAACATTTAGTAAAAGCTTTCACACCCATTTTAGATTGGTCATTAATTTAATTTTAAACAAAAAATCCAATATTTATGTATTTTGCAACAATGATTAATCTTCATGTTGTGCAAATAAATTTTATATCGAATTTTGTTGAGTAGATATTAAGTTTTCAGCTTCTTCCATTTTACACTCAAGAGCATCGATATAAAAATTAACATCATCCACTTTATCTTCATTACTTTTTTTTTTATTATATTGTGATATCATACCCCAAAAGATGGGAAATAAATGACTAATCATAAGTCTTGCATTTAGTTCTTCATGATCTATAAAGCCATATGTCCTTCTTGCTTTTATCATCATTAGGTAAAATATTTGCAATATATATGAAATAGCACTTTCAGAAACACTTTACCCCGAATTTGTTAATTGTAATTTAATTCTATCATAGTTTTCTCCCTTACAAATGAAATTATTAATTTTGCATCCTTGCAAGGATAAAAATGGAATTTAATTTTTATTTAAATTTAATATAGCATTTCTCATGGTTTCCATTGATAGGGCTAAATAACCATAAAGCACTGTCTAAAGCTAAACATAAATAAGAATTTAATTTAGTAAAAAAGAAAAAAAAAATGATAATAGTGGTAGTCGGGGAAAAAGAATCTCTATCTAATTCAAAAGAATTCACTCCCTTTTAAAAGCTTTTAAAACTAAATTTAAATTAAAAAACTTTAAAGAGAGAAATCTGTTGTGGATGCAACCACTTTCTATGGTGTACATAAAATATCAGTAGAGATTCCACCAAATTTTTGTTTTTGTGTATTAAAACCACTAATAGATGTAACATCCCTATCAGCTTTTATTGTTATAAAGCACTTTTTAAAGTTAAACATAAATGAAAATTTTTATTAATAAAAAAAAATATGGTAATGGTGGTAGTTAAGGAAAAAGAACTTTCACCTAACTCAAAAGAATCCACTCCCTCTTTTAAGAGCTTTTAAATTAAAAATTAAATTAAACTAAAATTATAAATAAAAAAAGTAAAGGGAAGAATATATTATGGGTATTTTGGCCCTAGATGAAGTAATTACCTTTTGTAATGTATATGACTTACCAAAATTTTTTTTCTATTCATTAAAACCATTAGTAAATGCAACATCCTTCCCAATTTCCATTACTATGGGTAAAAAACCACAAAGCACTTTCTAAGGCTAAATATATATAAAAATTTACTACTTTCACTGGCACTCTAGTTGAAACACTCTTGTTCCCATACTATTTTGAGTTCTTGGAGAGTTGTTATTATTACCATGGAAGAAAAATAGTGATGGTGATGGTGGAGGACGAAGAATTTTTATTTAACTTAAAAAAATTCACTCCCTCTTAAAAACTTTAGTTTGAGGTTGCTATTGTGGAGGGTTGTCGTGATCACAAATCTGTTTGCTATTTGTCATAGAGAGTTTGTGTTTCCAATTCCAGCACTGCTTGGGAGTGGTGTGGCTGCTACTATTGCCACCCTATTCATGCTATAGCTTTTCTATTTTTTTACTAGATTAGGATCTCCTCCGAGAAGCAGGATGGTGCCAGCGTCCAGTCCAAGAAGCTCAAGCCTCTAATCACAACCATGGCAGAGAAATCGACACAAAGAACATTGCACTAGACACTTCCAGTTTAGTTTCCACAAACTTTGGAAAGCTGGCTACTTTGCGTGGAGGATCGTCATTGCTGGGACTGGGGCTGGGATGGTACTCGCTGAAGTCCCAGCCATCTTCGCCAGCTTTCTCGATGGGAAGCTGGCTTGCCGATGGCAAGAGGTCTCACAGTCCTGGACCGGGAGCACAAAACGTAAAGAGGAGGCCGGACTGTCCAGCCTACCCAATCTCTCCTCGGTTTAGAGACGCTGGAAAGGACTGGAGTCCCGGGCCGGGGCAGCACAATCTTCCAGGAACTTTTGGTGGTCCGGCTTATATCATGGCATGGCGGTTTGACTCGCCTCCCAGAGCTCACAGCCCGAGGCCATTTGCTTCTTTTTTTCCGTCCTAGGCAAAGGTGCCGCCCCGAGGTGAGAGACAAACACTAGCTGGACCAAGACAGCGGTTGAAGGTTCGTTGAATGCTCATGCAAACGTTCCTGGTCACGGGGTTTATTCCAGCTACAGGCCCGACAAGGAGAAGTAAAAGGAAGTTGGCTACTTCATCGTCAAGGTGACGGCTTACAAGATCACAAAAAACGGGGACCTTCTTGATGCCGGAGCCAGATGATCCGGCTTTCAATCCAGAGAGAGGGGAGTCAGGAAGAAGGGACTCTGGCAATCTAGACAGGAGAGATTCCAGCTCCAGGAGAAGATCCAGTTTATCTCCAAGGCGGCCGTCGAGTCCTCCACAATCAGATCCAACTCCGGGACCAGGAAGATACCAAGACGCCGAGTTTCAAACAAACGGTCCCTGAAGAACTATCAAGTCGAGGATTCCATTACGTCCAAAGGAGAACTTTCTAGGACCAGGAGCTTACAACGTTGTGTTGAGGCTGAGCTCGCCACCCCTCTCTCTCGGAGGACAAAACAGAAAATCCAGGGCCAGGAGCGTGGCAAGGTGACGTCTCCACGACAAAGCGATGTTCCAGGCCCCGGTACTTACTCTCTGCGGCTTCCCAGAGGCCAGACCATGCAGTCGAGACAAAGCTCGCCAAGAACTCCAAACTCCCCCGGCCCGGGATCATACAGTCCGCAGTGCAGGAGCTCCTCTCCATCCTTCTCGATGCGAGAAAAGCTTCCCAAGTTATCAGGACGTGACAGCCCCAGCTACACCTCGAGATCTTCCATGGACGGTCCTTCCTTCAGCATGCACGGCCGACTTAGCAGCCCAGCTTCTTCCACTTCCAGGAGCAGCTCTCCGGGACCTGGAGCGTATACGATCTCTTCCAGGCCAACGAGTCCATGGTTTACGCTGTATGGCCCGGGGAAGAAGAACAACTAATGGAATGATTTTCCAGGGCCTGGAGCTTACTGCCCGAGACTAGGCCGGGTGAGTCCGGAGTTTAGCATCCGGGGAAAGCTTCCAGTCCAGCAGAGAAGCCGAGGAACCAATGTCAGCATCCGGGGGAAGATTTCTCATGAGGAGCGTCCTCGTTCTCCAGGACAGGGGGCTTACAACGTTGAGAGTGGAAGCAGCTCTCCATCTTTCAGCATCCAGGGGAAGATTTATTGTGAGGAGCGTCCTCGTTCTCCTAGACTGGGAGCACAAACCAAGTACCAGCGTTGACTTCAGCCTGGAACTTATCGATCCTCCCAAAGCTTGTAGCTATGAAAAATATGAAATGACAATATTTGTCTCTGTTTACAATTCCTTTCTAGTGCTCTCTATATTTTTTTTCTCTTCCCACACTTCTTGGGGTTTGAGGACGTAGTTTCTTCTCGTTCAGCACCTTTTCATATTCTCCTTGAACAATAGGTTTCAGTCGAGTGAATAAATCTTCATATTCAAGTACCTCTGTGTTATCTAATATTATTTGCTTGACATCATCTATAGTCCACGTTCTAGCCTTCAGCCCAATCAAAGTCTCCAAAAAGTACTCTATCACAAACATCATCTCAGGGATTGCATCTGGAGACCCTGATAATTTATCTTAAAACATAGGACGGTCCTCAATGTAAACATGTCCCACAATATACCAACCATTTAGAAATTTAAAATTTTGTTGTTGCTCTTTCATTACTTTTACAGAATTCAGCATTATGGAGGAAATCCAAAATCCTTCAAGGGAAATCCTTTTAACTTTCTGTATACCCAACCCATCAGATGTAACATCCTTTAAAACCCTCCCAAAAGATGTATCTTCCATTACTTGCTTTAATAAAACCTTCCCAAAAACCTAAGAATCCTTTAAATCCCTAGAAATTTATTTTTTAGGGTTAATCCACTCAGAAAAAAAAAGGCTAATCCAAACCTGCTTTCAAAGGCTAACACAGATGAGAATTAATAAATCCCAAAACTATGGTTTGTAAATGCTCCACTCTCCTGCTCGTGGCTGCCATTGTTACTACCAGTGTTCTTCTAGCCCGCCATCACCACCACCGGTCGGCCAAACAAACCAAGCGAAGAAGCTCTAGAAGCGTGGGACGAAGCTCCCAATCGCCTGGCCCGCTCGTCTCCACCAACGCCTATGGATTCTCAGCCACACCCACCTCTGTCCCCGGCTGGAAGCCATCCCCAAAACTCCCACCACTCAGCCACGCCGGAGTTCGGAGCCTAGTGTAGTTTGGAGGGACGTCGCTTCCCAGCCTGAGCTCTTGCCTCTCCACCTTTTCCAACCAGAGCCTCTGACTACGTCTCCCAAGGTGTGGGCTACGCACGCCGGGCTGTGGAGGCGTATCCAAATGCATCGCTTCTGCTCACGGGCCATAGCCTGGGTGCCGGACTCGCAGTTCTCGTCTCGGCATCGCTCGGCCACCAGAGATGAAGCGTAACGTGGTTGTGATCGGGTACCGTGGTCATGGCGTCGTGGGAGCAGCAAGTTGGCACGGTTTGAGCACCAGGGAGCTCGGACTCCGCAGCCGCGGCTTGTTCAGTGAGTGATGCTCCCAGCTCCACTTGCTTGAACTGCGCACAGCCTGAATGGGATTCTTGATAACCTGCAAAGAGGAGACAAGTTTCCGTGCTGGGAGCATTAGAGAGCGTGCTGGAAACACTTACTGTGGATCTGTGAGGCGTGTGTGACTCGCAATAAACAGGCAGAGATGCATACCTGAAGAAGTATCACGTTAGTCTTTTCATTTTTCTAGAACAAAACTCACTGGATTTTGTAGTAGCAGCTGATGTATCGTCGATCGCGATGCCACTGCTTCCGATTGATCAGCTTCACTGGAGCTTGGAGCAGTAGAGCGTACTGGAAAAACTTCGCAAGGCATCCTAGCTCCGGAGAAGCAGCACATTATAGTTTTTCCTTTTTGTTTCAAGAACATAACTCACTGGAATTTTGGAGTAGCTAGATTGCAAGCGATCGCATCTCAAAGCACGATGCCATTGCTCCATCAATCGTCCCCGTGCCTGATTGACTATCTTCACCGCGTTTCTAAGAGATTTTCAGTCATTCCTGATCGATAATCTGGCCACGCACAGAGGAAATCTATCTAGCTACATTCATCTACCTGCGCCGATATCAATCCCCTATGCATCGTTGCGAGACAAATATTTAGAAACAAATATTTTAGGGTTCTAAGCTTTTGCTTCGCAGATGATAGCAAAGATGATCAAACTGCCAGCTCTTCGACACACGAACTGGGACGGCGTGGCACCACTGCTGGAATTGGAATCACAAGCTCTCCGCGACGAGTAACAGGCAATCTCTCAGGCAGTGTAGTTCTCCGCCACAACAATAGGAGGGAGTGGATTCTTTTTGAGCTAAACTTTGCGAGCTTGACGACTGCTTCTATAGCTAATCACCTTGACGAACTCTTGTTCCCCATGCTACTGTGAGAATTCTTAGAGCTCACCAGAGAGTTGCTGCTGCTGCCATGGAAGAAAATCAGCGTCCAGTCCAAGAAGCTCGACTCCTTCGAGCCTCTAAAGCTCCTGATCACAATGGAACCGGACGATCCGGCTTTCAATCCAAAGAGAGGGGAGTCAGGAAGAAGGGACTCTGGCAATCTAGACAGGAGAGATTCCAGCTCCAGGAGAAGATCCAGTTTATCTCCGAGGTGGCCGTCGAGTCCTCCAGAACTCCGGGACCGGGAGAACACCAGGACGCCGAGTTTCAAACAAACGGTCCCTGGATAACTATCAAGTCGAGGATTCCATTACGTCCAAAGGAGAACTTTCCAGGACCAGGAACTTACGACGTTCTGTCGAGGCCGAGCTCGCCATCCTTCTCTCTCGGTGCTCGCCATTTTGTTCCGGAGGACAAAACAGAAAATCCATGGCCAGGAGCGTCCCAATCACCGGCAAGCACCGAGACTCGTCACCCCGCTCGAGAAGTCCCGGTCCCGGAGCCTACAAGTACGAGAATGGAACCATCGGCTCTGGTCTACCAGCTTTCACCATCACTGGCAAGGCGACGTCTCCACGAGAAAGCGATTTTCCAGGCCACGGTACTTACTCTGTGCGGCTTCCCAGAGGCCCGGCTCTCACCATGCAGTCGAGACAAAGCTCGCCAAGAACTCCAAACTCTCCCGGCCGGGGATCATGCAGTCCGCAGTGCATGAGCTCCTCTCCATCCTTCTCGATGCAGACAAGCTTCTCGAGTTATCAGGACGTGACACCCCCAGCCCCGGCTCCTACACATCGAGATCTTCCATGGACGGTCCTATGCACAGCGGACGAGTCCATCGCTTACGATCTATGGCCTGGTGAAGAAGAACAACGAATGGAATGATTTTCCACTCGAGACTAGGCCGGGAAAGGTTCCAGTCCAGAAGACTAGCCGGAGTCCGGGACAGGGGGCTTACAACGTCGAGAGCGGAAGAAGCTCTCCATCTTTCAGCATCCGGGGGAAGATTTCTCGTGAGAGACCTCATTCTCCAGGACCGGGAGCGTACTTCTTGCCGAAGACAAACCAGGCACCAGCGTTTAGCTTGTATGGGAGGATCCGAGGGCCTCGACAAGACAGCTTCAACAGTCCGGCTTGTTGATCAGCAGATCTCAACGCTTGTCGCTTCTCACTTTTGTCTTTGATACATCTTCCCAAACATCTCAGAAGCAGCGAACTTACATACTCCATATATCCCTGTTTTCATTCTTTCCTTTTTCCTTGTAAACTTGCATCTCTTTTGTGAAAACTTATAGGTGAGAAAAGCTGTGAAGAACTTTGAAAGTTAACAGTAGTTGGGAACATACTCACAACATACTCCGTCAGAGTTTTAATCATATCTCATAAGCCTCCTTTTGGATGATGAAGGGCTACACTTTGAAAATTGGGCCTGGAGGGTATAAAGATTTTTAAAAGTGAAAGCATTCGAGGACTTTTCATTACCTACTCTCCAGATCCAGTTTGTTGGAGGAATATCTGGCATATACTAGAATATTCTATAAATGACCTATTACTCTCTCACTAGAGAATCCGCATTCCAAAGGTTTAATACGAGGCAGAACAAGAGCGCTTGGAGATTACGCTCTTGCAAAGGAACCCCTGACAGTTGATGGTAAAACTATAAATTTGTGAAGCACATAAACTGCATCTTTAAATTATACAACATCTGCTAAGAAACTGCTAGATTAATATAAAGAAAGAAAGAAATAGAAAATCTAAGAAATCCAGACCATAATAGTAAAGTGTGGTGTTAGATCATAAGATATAAAACTTTGACCAAGGCAATGCCGATAGGTGAGATCTGTGAATCTTAGATTTTCAGTTCTAAGAAACTATGGGCGCCATAGTTTCATGTTGTGCATACTCAAAAATTTAAGGGTTGAGATATTATAAAGCAAGAAAGAGCTGAAAAATCTAGACCATTATAAAGTGAAAAAGAGTTGGAAGCTTTGACAAAGGCAACGGGGATAGGTGAGATCCGGTGATATCTCTAATTCTCAGGCCCGCAGCGAGAACACAGGTGAGAATTTGATCCAATGAAGAAAATCCCAAAGCCATGTT